AGAGGGGAACAATCACCTCTCTGTCCCTGCTGGCCACCCCTCTTCTGATGGAGCCCAGGATCCCATTTGCTGTTCATAACAGCAGTCTTCTCCCCACGCACAGCAATGGGATAGCAGAACCAAGAAATAAGGGTGACCCCCTTCCTTGCCCAATGTATTCATGACCTGTCTGCAGAGTATGACCCTTTACAGACAATGACATTTTACTGGGTCATTTGCTTTCTTGTAATTTGTTTTTAAGTTTGGGCCTCTAAGAGAGAGAGAGTCAGAAGTTCATTGCAGAAGCTGGATGTGGAAATGTGTGAGTCACCCGTCAGTCTCATTTCCAGTTCAAGAAACACAGTGCAAGGTTATGTGCAAGAGTTGTCTGCGGTGAGGGATCTGAACTCATATATTCTCAAACAAGCCACAAACAGGCCTTGAAAAAGCCATTTGTGCACCTGCTTCTGAAAAGGGTAGTCTCTATCTGCCCTGTCCTTCGCTGCATCCTGAGTCCTGCTGGCTGCTAATATGCTCTGTCTTTGAAGATCTCCCAAGGCAAAGTATTAAATGCCCAAATCACGCAATCGTTAAATTGCTAAGCAGAAGCAGAAGCAGCAAACTGACCTGCCGTGTAGTTGAAAACATTTTAAAATGTCCTCCCAAAAATCCTCAATTGTGACACCTTACCAGAAATGTAACTCATGCATTGTCACATCAGCTGGGACTTCATCTCTGTGTCCTGCAGGGAAGCTCTGCTTCCATTCACAGAAGTAGTGGTATCAATTGGGATCAATGCTAATTGTTCGAGCGATGTCAAGGACTGGATTTTGCCCTCAATGGCAAAGAGAAGATTTGACATCTGAAAATATGTAAAGAGATACTGAGTATCTGTATTGCTGGCTCACTGTTTGGATACAGACTGTGACAGGGGTGCCATTCTGCTGGAATAGGCATCTAGCAAAGCAATATGGTTTGTTTTAATGACAGTTTCCACTGCAGCCCAGTTTAAGTGTAAGCACTGTTTAGATGCAGCAGTATGTGGGTGTCTTTGCTCCTTCCAGCATTCTCACTTGGTCTGAATGAGACAGGCAGTCTCATTATCATTTATGCAGTGTGAGCTGTAATTTGGATTGATGTGACTGCTGTTCAATGCAAAGCATTCATTTCCCCTTGTACAATGGAAGTGCTTTACTTCATTTTGTTCATCAATGTATTGTGCAATTAATTCAGCCCTGTTTATTATATTCTGGGCTTGTATGTCATGGACTCAGGGGACTTAGAAATGCCTTAATGATCTCATGGATATGAAAACAATGAGAGCTGTGATAGACATGATGCATTTGCACATCTCTCACACCTATTGGATCTAGACATTGGTTGTTTTTTATGTCTGCTTTGCTTTGCTTGTACCTTGTAAATTGCCTCTCTGTGTAAGCTGCTGCCTCTGTTCCCTTCCTTAGGCCTGATAGCTCAAAGCATCACAGACGTGGTGAGAAAGATAACAGCAAGTTAAAGACTGCAGGGAGAAGCAGATTTTCTCCAGAGGCTGGAAATAGGATACAGAGATTTTCTTAACTAGACTGGTCCAGGTGAGTTCGGCTCACTGCAATTAATATCCAACAATTAGCTGCTTTACATGAAAGATTTTGGTAGTATGCCTAGTGCAAATCAAGTTAAAACCTAATGCACAGCTGTTTCCCTTCCTGGCAGCATAAAAGTGGGGCTAATAAGGCAGAAATGCTTTCCTTTGCATCTTCATGATGCTGTACCTTTGGTGGGCAGCGTGATAGCAGTGGGGAAGTGTAGGCATTAGTATGGTTGCTCCTGCTCTCCTTATTTGGCCAACAGAGATAAAGGCAAGCTCACAGTTCTACTCTTCTTGTCACTCACTTGGGGTCTAGCCCAAAGATAACCAATGACTGCAGCTGCTGTGGTATCTTTGAGTTGCATCCTGCCTGCAGAGCCAAGAGCAATAAAAGCATCAGCTCTGCACAAATGCATGTGTCACCAATAGAGACGTTCTGAATAAGCAGTGAGGAAGGGCATATAGAAGTTGTTTTGGCTCTGCAAACTCCCATTTAGATCCCAGGGGGAAATCAGCAAGCAGAAGCATCATTTGGATTGAAGGGGACACTGAAGACATTTTGCAGTGCTGGAGAGAAAGCTCACTGCAAAACATATGGCAGGATGATTTGGGGAGGGGAGGGGGTTAATGTGGTATATTGTCAGATAAAACTAAAAATTCCTTTCTAATCTCAGCAAAAAAGAGCTACTCCTTTCTAAAATCCAACGAGAGATTTTCCTGTATAATTGAAGGATTGCTCTTCAAGATTCACTGATGCTCTAGAAAATACATGGACATGTCATAAATGAGTTTATGGGGAACATGTGATACTCAGAACATTCACAGAAAAAAAAAAAAACAGCCCTCGTTCCTCCAGATTGAAAGAATATATGTGAAAGCAATGTTTTCTTTATGTAGCAGAGTCTGACTGGCACAGACACGAACAATTTAGTATAGCATGGATTTGAAATTGAAGCACTTTCACACCCCATGGATTGACAACAGGGTAATTACCAGAGTAGGGGGGGAAGAGAGGGTTTCAGTAAAACACCCCCAGCTAAAATGAATGCGGACTATTACAGACCTGAGAGATAATGATTCCCAAGTGTTTTAATTTGTGCTTCCCCTCCTTGTCTCCCTTGCAGTCATCATTTTGGCAACTGCCAGCAACATCCCTAACACACTCAGCAGCATTCACAGAGCAGGCAGCTGCTGAGATGATTATGTCAAATCAGCACTCTGTCCTCTCTTTTCCACGTCTAATGATTCTCACCCTTGGAGAAGTGCTTTAAAATGATGTATACACCTCAGGCTCATTGTGAGGCTGCTAAAAGCAGTAGCTGCAGAGCAGGAGTTTGGGTAGGACCTTGTCATTCACCTTACTTGCATGCATGCACTGCAATTATTTTTCAAAATGATTCCACAGAGCCTTGCTGTTGTTTTTTTTGGGCCTGGCCCAAAGTCCTTTCTAGACAACAGAAAAATCTTCCAAGAGCTGTGGATTAAGCTCTCTCAGGGCGGGAGAGAAGCTGAGTTTGTGTGAATTCTTAATTTGAGTTTCTCAAACAATCCATTGAGAAGAACACATAAAACAAGGCTCGCTTGACATTTGTCTCCCTCTGCCTTATTCAGTGCTAACATCCCCAAAGGCAGAACTGTCACTGATTGCATTGCAACTGGGAGATGCAGGGAAGGAAGGAAAGAAGGGAGGGGAAATGTGCTAGATGTAACCTGGTGGTACTTTTGCTGTCACTGCTGTCGTGCTGCTGAGCCAGCAGAGCAGCACTTAAACGCTTTCCTGCGCTCAGAAGTGGGTTGGACTTGCACAAACATTGCCCCTGGGTTTTATGTCATGGGCTGATCCTGCATTCTATATCTTGGCACATTATTTACTCAACAGCTTTCATTTGCACTGCAGCCGTGAAGTCAGTAATATATCTGGCAGAGACATAAATCAGGTTGCCTGATTCTGCTCACACTGCTGTGGCAGTGCAGCATGCTCTGCCCTGTCTGCTGCTCCTTTCTGCTTCTCCTCTGCAGCATCACAGTTTGATTCAGAAAGATCAAGTCTCAGTCATGAGCTCTCCTACTGAAACCCCAATCTGAGCAATCAGTCCAATAATCTTGTAGCTCAATTCGTTATAATTAACTCAATTTTCACTGTCCTTAGACATTTAACTAATCCCAGCAATTAAGAATCAGCTGTTCTCTATATTCAGAGTTAACAGTGGACCTGAAGCAGAAAAAGCAAAGGGTCCCCTATTGAAGTCTACAACCTCTGGCTTAAAATTCACACTTGCCTTTATTGCAACAAAGTCTTGTTCAAAACACTGCCCAGAATCCTAGAAGGATATGGGGCAATGAATACCTGCATCACCAAGGACAAAGATCCCTGCCAAATTTCCAGCTTTCTTTTAATTGCACTGTTCCAAACAGACCTCAGCTCCAATATCAGAAAGCACCGCAATATCAAAACTTGGCTTTGATAAAAGACTGTGCATGTGGTTCTTATTGCTATCACACAGACCAGGATTTGAAAGCTCTGCAATTGACTGTGATCAATTAAAGCCTTTTTCCATTTATGCTTTCACTGACAATAGCACTGGCAGTACCACCTACTGTTCTGCATCTGTGCTGAGGGAGGGGCTGCATTTCTCTCTCTGGGTTAACAAACTGCATCCCTGCTGTCACAGCATAGAGCTGTAGCCAAGCCACCATTCCTTACTCCAAATTTTTGGGCTGAGATTGTCGTGCTGTAATTAGAAATCAAAATAGCTCTGGCCAGATGAGCGTCAGGCTTTGCCTAAACCCTCCTTTCCAAATTGCTCTGTGCATCTC